CCGAACAGGAGGTGCTCCCTAGCTACACGATCCTCCCTCCGACAATCATAACCATACCCTTCATCAGCTTCCCCTCTTCTTCCTTCAAAATCAGCACCTCGTTGGTGGAAATCTCCAATTCTTCCCACAAAATCAGTACCCCTCCTTTTGTAACCCATACTCATCACCTCTTTAGAAAGTGGTTCTAGAGGTGGCATACCGCCCTCTCTCTCAAGGATCTCCACTTTCGGATTTTTCCTCCCCCTAAACGGGTTCAGATTCCCTCCTCTCCCATGGCTACCGGTGGTCTCCCTCGCTTCCGATGTCGCCGGATTAGTCTTCACCTCTAGTAATTTCTTCAACATCTCTTCCATCAAAGTGAACTTTCCTTCTAACCGTTCATTGTTGGAGGAAATTTGATTTTGAAAATCAGATAATTTTTCCTCCAAATCTTATTTTAGTTGCCCAATTTCACATTCCAAAACTTTAACTTTCTTTCCAGCCATCTTTCTTCCCAAGATTTGTGAGAGGATCTTCTTGCGGATGAAATTTCTTTGCTGAAATTTATGGATTTCATTCGCCGATGTTCCGAAGACAATGCTCTGATACTAATTTGATAGGAAATACTTGAATTCGCAAGTAATCCAAGAGGAAATACTTGAGTTCACAAGTAACCCTAGCAATAATTGATGAAAACAGTGAGAAAACACACAAGAACATGATGAAGTCAACCCAAAATCAGTGGATCATATTAGGGAAATCTAGAGCAAACAAATACAAAGCAAAGATACAATTGATCCTCAATTTGAGAGGAGGATCATTCTCTCACATTCTCCAGAAGAAGTTCTAGAGCCCAAGACACCAACAGAAAAACTCCCATGAACACAATAATCATGCATAACCCTAACCCTAAACAAGCCATACTATTAATACATTAATTACCTAATTCAAACATCCCTAATTCAAATTTTCCCTCTGACCCTAGCCACCTAATCCTCTCTCCTCCAATTGCTCCTAGTGGGGCCCACTAGTGTGGGTGGAAAGCTCCAAAGGAGGCGGAACATGTCTGCCTCCTATGGACTTGAGCCGGCCTTTTGGTCGACCCAGGTTCATAATGAACTGGTCTAACATTTGCATCATGTACTACAAGAGATTGAAGGATAGGAATACGAAAAAAAGGTTGACAAATGACGAGGATCCTCTACTATGTGATGATATGCCATGGTATGATGAATAATTTGTGGATGATGATAATGTGTTCACATTTGATTTACAACAAGACGATTAGAAAGTTGATTTCTTTGATGGGGATAGAAGCAAGATAAATACATCTAACACAAGCCAACAACAATAAAAAAAAAGAAGAAAAGATATCTAGAGTAATTTAAATATTTGCAGTTGTATTAAATATTAATTAATATTCATAATTTCTTTTTTATTATTACTCATTAGGGAAGAAGATAACTATGATTGAAGAGGAAGATTGGGAAATCTTTGACTCGCTATGATGAGGCACGGTGATGACACCAATTAAGTCGGCTTGAGTTAAAAGCGTTCTAAGAATTACTTGTTATATTGATAAGTTGATCATTGGAACTTCGAAGTTTGCCATGTTGGATGGTAGAGTGAGGGATGAAAGCTTATTATGTTCAAATTATTTGATGTTTTACGTTTATTTGATATCTTATGTTACTTTGACTAGTTGATGTTTGCATTATACTCTTAATTTGCATAATATTTTATGAATTGTGCAATTTGTTACTTGATATATTCATATTTTTTACTTCTTTCTATATTAAAATATTAATATGTTATTTTGTAATATATTAATTGATTGTGGTGCTAATATATTATTACCTTCATTTTAACTTCCATGCAAATTTTTAATTGTGAGGCTTATGCTTTGAAATTCTTTAAGGCTTATGCCTCGCCTCATGAACAAAAAATGCCTTAATATCTAAATGTGCAATTTAAATCTATATTTTGTTAATTATAAATATACTCCTAAAATGAATAAAGGGTTTGTGAAATTCAAACTAGTTGATAAAATAATGGTCATTATAAATTTGGAAAAAGTTTTAATAAGTGCTTTTTAAGTAGTTAATTGTTAGAAAGGCAGTCCCATATAAAATCAAGGAACACATTCGAGCAAATGCTTAGATCCTAGAAATTTCTCGAAATGACAGTGTTAGTCTAGTCTTTACTGTTTATAATTTGAATTTTTTAATGAATTGACAACGAATATCTTGGATTTTTTTTTCTATCTCCTTCTAGGGAATTCACATTCAACATGTTTTCAAACAGTCATACATATCTTATCATTATATTGAGTTCGCTACTTGGGATGGATAGCTAAAATGCCTTATAAATTGATAGACAGTTGAATAGATCTACTAGTGATGTTTCGTGCATTTCTTCATAGGAATTTTAGCAGTTATGTCCAAATCTACTTTGGCAATATCAACTGAACAAACATTAGATTTAATTTTTTTAAGCGAGGCAGATTGATCATGACTAGAACATCACAGGAGTTATAGCTTCCTTTCATGAATTAGTCCCATTGTATTCTTCGTAGTATGATTTTTGACCATTATAGTTGCTATCGGGACCTATTTTCCTTATGTGATGTGTGAGCTGGTATTGTAGCTGATTACATGATTTAGTTGTTTATAGGATTTCAATGACTTTTGGAGTGGGATTGCCTTTTTTTATGAATGCTATTTTTTTATTATTTAAAAAGGGATTCTATAATTATAATTAAAGGTACTTAAGACATGTAAAAAATAGCTCCCCTTGATTTGTATTTTGTTTGAATGAATTTCTAGAAGATTTCAATTCATTATAACTTTTTAAAAATCTTGAGAAAGTCATCTCCTTGTATTGACATGAAGCTTGAATCTTTTATGTAACACCTCACAATACTCCTTAATAGTATTTTAAATTATCACTTGCATAAACATATAATTTCCCGGCATTAAACATTTACATACATTTCCTTATATTGACATGAATCCTAACATATCATTGATATACACTTCTTTAGACTTTTACCATTACATAGAAATTTTATAAGACAATCATTAATACCATAAAATAACTAGAATATATTACCTCAAATCTTCTTCTTCAATTCTCTTTATTCCTCTTTTATTTCTCTTAGAGATTCTTCCAAAAATTCTACTCTTAATAACTATGCTAAAAATTTGTAGATCTTAATAATATACTTAAAATTTCCTTGATACACATTTTAAATTTGATCACAACTTCACTTACCCAAATTTATTCTTTGTACTGGAATTGCCGAATATCTGCTCTCAGAATTCGGCTTCACACTTCAGCCTCACAAAGCCGAACAATGCTAGTCCCGCGGTTACTGTAGCGAATTTGCTACAGAGATTTCTGCCAACTTGCTATAGTGATTTTTTGCACTACCGATTCCTGCTACAGGAAAAATTTGCCGAATTACTTTATGCTGAACACCTCTATGAGCCGAATTTCTCAACAGGAATTCTGTACTGAATGGATCTTCCCAGCAATCCTAATTCCTTCCCCACCACAGCATTTCCCCATTCTCTTTTTAAGCCCGTAACTGCTCTTCTCGTATGTCCCTTGGCGGCTTGCACATTCCAAACAGAGAAAAAATGAGGGAGGGCACACACACACCCATAACTGATTTCCGAAACAATTCTCAACCCTTTGATGTCTCAACCGTTTCCTGATGTTTCAACATTTGTTATTGTCCATATAATGCATCGTTTCAACAAATTTGAGAATTTGTTTAATTTAATAAAACACTTTACTAAAAAAAATAACTTTTAATATTAATACAACAGGAAGTTAACATTAGACCTAATTTAAATTTTATCTATATTTAAACCAAATTTAACAACAAAATTCTTTACCTGAAATTCGGATTTTATATTTTATTTAGTGATATCTTACATTTATTATTCTTATTCATCAATTTTAGTAATTGAATTTATTTTGTGATTTAGTTTTCTTAATTTTGATGCAATATGATTTTTTTTATTGTGGTGTGAGTTTTCGATCAAATAAGTATGATTCTATTTGTTCCAAATTATCTATATGTCCTTTTTGTCAGAAGACTATTTAATGACTGTTTGTATGTATTTTAGGTGTTTACTGATTTTAATCAAAATAGAAAATTTGTTTGAATTGAGATTCTGGATCCGTGAATTTGATCTTTTGTGCGTGATATATTATACCCTTGACCCCATGCCATCCTACATCATGCATATATAGCATTACTCTAATCTTGTTGCTTATTGATTTGTTTGCCGTTTCTGATTTGTTATCCTAGATGTTTTCTTTATTCTTATTTTTGTAAGCTGGTGCACATCTTCCCACTTCAATATAGATAACCCTATACTTAAATGTTTCTGATCGGTGCAGCCCTAAATCAAAACCATCATTATATCCTGCATTAATCTTTTGGGAGAACGATTGCCCCTTTGACGTAGACTAGTGGAATTCATTCTCTGACGTTTTGATGCTTTAAAACAATTATAAAGCTGTGCTACTTTACAGTTTCTTACTCATTTTGGGTTATGTGGCCTGTTGATGCTCAAGAACTTCTCTAGGTTTTTATTTGAGTAAATTTTTTGTGATAATTTAGAATGACATTAATGTATTCTTGTAATTTTTGTTTATTTGTACATCATAAACATTCATCGCTGGAGGAAAAGTTAGCCTAGGGTCTATAATTTTTCTTGTATTTTTTGCGTGGCAACCGTATTGCAGCATACAGATTTGCTAAAGCTTAGACTTAAAAATATCTGTTTCTAAAGTTTGGCATGAAGTCTCATTAAGTCATATTTGTTTGATTATATAGTTCACTCTCGAATAGTGGTGTGCTTATTTTAAGTGGATGCCACAAACTTTTCAATCTAGGAAGGAAGATGTTTATTTTTTATTCATGATTGGTGGAAATAGAAAAATTGCATTAAAATAATTATGGCTCTCGGACAATTTTATCTTTCAATTTATGAATCTCAATTCAGACTGCTGGAGCCATTGGAGGTGCTGCATCTTCTCTTATTAGGGTGCCCACTGAGGTAAACACAACTTCTGTTTTGAGGATTTTATGCTTTATGGAATTCAAAATCGTTATTATAAATGCCTTCATTCAGGTAGTTAAGCAAAGGATGCAAACTAGGCAGTTCAATTCAGCTTCTGATGCTGTCAGGCTTATCCTTGCTAAAGAAGGCTTTAGAGGCCTATATGCGGTATGTACCTTTTGTGTTGTGGTTTTGATAGCTTTGGTGGATGAGGAACTGCAATCACGATGGACTCTGGTGGCATTAATGCCTCTAAAATTTTAACTGATTTGATGATTTTTTTTCCCTCCAGCCACCTTTCCTTTAGAACTTATTTTCAGCTTGCAGGGATATAGTTCCTTTCTTTTGCGAGATATTCCCTTCGATGCAATTCAATTCTGTATCTATGAGCAACTTCGAATTGGATATAGAGTTGCAGTAAGTTTACTAGTCCAACTTATATTTTTTTTTGTGGGAACAGCACGTGTGTGTGTGTGTATATATATATATATATATATATATATATATATAAATGCACACACGTATGAATATATACATACATATATGTATATGCTTGTATACATGTATATATGTATATGCTTGTATACATGTATACATGTATGTATGTATGCAATTGTGTGTACGTAATCAAGACTAATTTTTGGAACTGGTAACTGCATCTTATGCATGATTATGGCTGTATCTTGAATTCATCATGATTTGCAAATTTGATTTTTATTATGGGAATTGAAGGTCTGATCCAAATGGCTGTTGGTTGTTTTTTGTGAACCGAGTTCATAGATTACTTTTTATCGTCATGGATGCCAAAAAAACAAATTTAGTATACCAGATGCAAAATTTTCTTTTTATAATTTACTTTCTCCTGTCTAGGCTAAGCGAGAGCTAAGTGACCCAGAGATCGCTGTGATTGGTGCCTTTGCTGGTATGTACATGCTTCTGCTTTCTAAAACTCATACTATTTGACATCTATCATAATATATTCATTTATAACCATGTTGACTTCATTTCATTATTACAACGTAGTATCTTGATGATTGTTTTATAAATTTTGACGTGCTTCTTGTTAAAAATCTCTTTTTGGCGTGCTTTCTATGTTGTGAAATAAATTCTTTTCATGCAACACATTTCCTAAGATTTTTGCAGAAAGCACCATAAATTACTTCACTAATTTACCTTGTAAAATACATTGAAATTCGGTCTCCTAAAATTTTTAAAATGATTCATATTTTCTTTTAAAACTCATGTGTTTTTAGTAGATTTCATTTTGACAACTTTTTTGAGGTCAAGTGCTTGAAGTTCAATTTTCATCGGTTGTTAACAAAGTTAGCATGTGTTTTTTTTTTTTTAAGGTTATTTGATAGTTAATATCAACTCAGTTAATGCATCAGTCCCTGTAAATAGTTCCTCATACTAAAAAAGTGATATTAGAGCCTATGGCATCACTCGGGTCAATCAGGTACTTCAATGATGTGAGTGGCGTGTGCGATTGGCCAGTGGCTCCTATCATCTTATCTATCTTACGAGAGCTAGGGTGCTTGGAGCGCTAATGTCAATTTTTGAGTCGTTATTTTTTATCGAATCATTATTATATTGCATAAACTTGTTTAGTCTAATTTTGGACAAGTAAATGATTAAATTGCTGGTAGGTAGCATTTTGGCTAAATTTTACTGGGTTTAAAATTTCCTGGCTATGTTTTGTGCTAACTTTGTATGATGGTTGATTTACTGATGGCATCCACTTCTAAGTTGATCTATTATTGTGGGAGCAAGATGAGTTTTCTTAATCCTAAGATTAACTGCTCAGGGATCGGGTAGTAATTATAGTAATGCAAACTTTATGGAGCATTCATTTGCTATCACCACAAGCAGTTTTGTAAATTTATCTAGTAATGAAACTGAATTGGTTATTATTATATTTATGTGTCCCCTAAAACACATACCATTTGGCATCTCGCATAATATCTACCCTTATGAAATGGCTATGTTGAGATCTTTTGATTATCTCAAACAAGAATCTTAATGACTTTTTTATGATTTTGTTGAAAATCTCATTTTGGAATGCTTTGCGTGTCATGTGAAATAGATTCTTTTCATATTAACATATTTCTTAAGATTTTCACATAGGGTACCATAAACTACTTGATAAGTTTGTTTTTTAATTACATTGGAAATTGGTCATATAAAATTTCAAAAATAACATTTTTTTTTTCTAGTTCATGTATACTAGTAGATTTCACTTTGTAAATTTTTTTGAGGTCAAGTGCTTGACGTTTTGCCTTCATTGGTTCTTAACAATGTTGTTTAAGGCATCAGCAGCATCGACCAAAGACAACCACATATTATTGAGCTTGAGAGTGACATGTATGTATTACATGTTTTATATTACTCATATATTTTGAGAAGTAATATTTTCAACCAAATATTTTGTATAGGTTTCATCTGTTAAAATAACCCACACATAAGATACGGGACATCATACAGAGCAGGTTGATGCTCTATATGTATCTTGTAAGAAAATCTCTAAGGATGTGCACCACATATGGTTTAGGGAGTTCGAGGTTAGTAAGTAGCAATATTTGTAACATCTGTCCATTTTTATTAAGCAAACAAAAAAATTTTATTCTCTAATCTTTTATATACATTAAGATTTTTATTGGTTGTCGGAGCATGATATAAATGTCTAAACGAATCTTGAAAAAATGCTGAGCAACTAACCTAGGAAGATTGCAAATATTGTAAAGATTGCAAAATTATTCCTAGTCAAAGTTTATGTACCCAGTATCACTTATTAGTTTTAGACTTTAAGATGAAAGGGCCTAAAATAAAAAATAATGTAAATCATTGTACTAGGATTAGATGGGGGCATTTAAAGAATATTAATAAAAATATTTATGAGAGTAAGATTTTAGATTTTAAGATTTTCTCTATGCATGAGGAAACTAATGTTATATGGGAAAAAATAGCTAGTGATATTAAAAATGTTACAAAATATGTGTTTGGAGTATCAAAAGAAAAAAATTATTAGTAAAAATAGTTGGTGGTGGAATCAAAATGTGCAAAAAAAGATAAAAAAATAAGAAGCTTTGTTATAATAATTGGATTAGATGTTAAAACTCTGAAAATTGGAAAAGAAATTAAGAGGCTTGTAAGGTGACTAATGATTTTTATAATGGATTATATTTTAAAGAGGGCGAAAGATATACATATAAGTTAGTCAAACAAAGATATAGGAGTAGTAAGGATTTAGTTCAAGTGAAGTGCATTAAGCATGAAGATCAAAAAGTATTTTTTTAGAAGAAGACGTTCAACAAAGGTGGATTAGTTATTTTGCTAAACTTTTCATTGAAGATTGTGAGAATACGATTGACGTTAATAACCTTAGCATTCTAAATGAAAATAGATATTTTTATTTTTATCAGCGTATTAATAAAATTGAAGTTTAAGAAGTTTTAAAGAAAATGAAGTGTGGAAAAAACTAGTGGACCTAATGATATTCTAATAGAGGTGTGGAAATGCTTAGGAGATGGAATTTCTTGGCTTACTAAAATTATTATTATTATTTTTAATTAAAAAGATGCCAGATGAGTGGAGAATGAGTGTGTTGATTCCTATTTTTAAGAATAAAGGTGATGCACAAGTTTGTGCGAATTATAGAGGTATTAAGTTGATGTGTCATACTTTAAAGCTTTGGGAGAGAGTTTTGGAATTTTGATTATGATGTGATATTAATGTTTCTGAAAATCAATTTGTATTCATGCCGGGTAAGTCTACTATGGAAGCTGTTCATTTATTGAGAGGGTTGATGGAGAAGTTTAGAGAGAATAAGGAGGATCTACATATGATTTTTATTAATTTAGATGGATTTAGAGAAAGCATATGATAAAGTTTCAAGAGAAATGCTATGGAGAGTTCTAGAAAAGAAAGGGTTAATAATGCTTTTATTCTAGTCATTAGGGATATATATGCAGGTGTTGTTACTTATGTTCAAACACAAGGTGGTTTGGCAGAGTATTTTTCTATTTCAGTTGGATTACATTAAGGATTAGCTTTAGGCCTTTATCTTTTTTGCTTTATTCATGGATGTTCGTACTAGAAATTTGCAAGAGGATGTACCCTAGTGCTTTCTTTTTGCTGATGATATTCTTCTTGTTGATAAGACTAGAGAGGGAATTGAAGGTAAACTCGAATTGTGGAGGTCAACCTTAGAATTTAAAGGTTTTTGTTTGAGTAGATCTAAAACCAAATATATGAAGAGTAATTTTAGTAGTAATAGATATAGTGAGGGGGGGGGTTGTGACTTTGAGCTATCAACTCATTAATAAGTGTACTAATTTTAGATACCTTGGGTCTATTGTTCATAGTGATGGTGAAATAGATGGGGATATTATTAGTAGAATTTAAGTTAGATGGTTGAAGTGAAGGAATGCTTCGGGTTTTTTTTTAATAGAAAACTACCACTCAAACTTAAGGGAAAATTTTATAGGATGGTTGTGAGACCTGCAATGTCTTATGGCACAGAATGTTAGACATTAAAAGAGAACATAATATTAAGTTAAGTATTGCTGAGATGAGGATGCTGAGGTGGATGAGTGGATTTACTCTTAGAGATAGGATATGAAACGAGCATATCCATGAAATGGTTGTGATAACTCCCATGACAGATAAGATTAGAGAGAGTCGCCTTATAATGTTTGGTCATGTAAAACTACGGCCTTCCGATGACCCTGTTAGATGTATTAGATTTGACCTATGTTAAGAATGGTAGAGGTAGACCTAAAAGAACATGGTTATAAAATATTTGAAATGAACTTTCTTTATTAAATTTAACTGAGAATTTGACTCTTAACAGGACACAATGGAGAAAAAGGATTCATGTAGCCAACCCCACATAGTGGGATAAAGGGTTGATGTTGTTGTTGTGTCTAAGTCTACCTCTTCTAACTACAACTCAGTCTCATTAGTTGCAATTTGATCATTGTTATCATTAACAGGCTCTTTAAAGTTAAACATACACTCTTCTTGATGTGTTGCAGGTATTGACGTGATATTCTTAATGACCCCCTAGGTTTTGTCTTGATAATTACAATCTAATCTTGTTTACCCCATGGTCTATTCAGATAATTAGCAAAAAAGACTAGCAGTGGGTCATATTTTCCATATCTCCTACTTCGTTTTACTTCCATAATATCATAAAATGGATGCACCTTTGTTCCTATGTTTTGTACTGGATAAAAAAATCACAATTAAAAAGATACAAGTTGTTCGATTCACTAGAATGTTCCAACTGTAGTACTTCTTGTAAGACCCCATAATACTCACAATCATCACATATATGGTTGTTCCCTTTAACACATACACCACAATTTTCTATTTTTCGACCTTCACACCAAGCCTTGGGTTGAAATTTGTAACCAACATTTTACCGCTCTTATAGGCCCCCAAGCTAGATCCACTAGTCCTTGATCTTGCACATCTTTGGCTTCAGTGTGGACTTGATTGGTGCAGGAAGTGTAGCTATGCTATTATCATGTTCACTAAGTTAATTGATTCTGACATTTAAGGTAGAAGTGACTTGTCGAAATACATATCATATTTTTGAACCAATTTAAAAATTCAAATTCAATTCTCTTTTACTCTCCTCTGTTGGTATCGATGAAGTTAGACCATTATTTTCTACAAATTTTTTGAATTTAGGATCACTATGTCTGTGTCTATGAAATTTACGTAATGTTAACTCAAACGTACTCGAGATATTGTTCAACTTCAACACAATTAAGCATTGTGTACAATGCGACAACTCTCATATACTTTTCTGACAAATAGTGCACGGTGCAAGCGCATGCTGTCTTGCCATATCCATTGAATACATATATGCTTCACATATTGATCCTTCGATATTTGATTTGTTTTTAAGTCTTCTTA